CTGGGCGGTAGGTGGGCATCCGAAGCATCATACATTTTCACACTTGCTAGTCTGAGAGTGTGTGTGTGTGTGTGTGTGTGTGTGTGTGTGTGTGTGTGTGTGTGTGAGAGAGAGAGAGGGAGAACATACTGTGTATTTTGCATGTGTGAATATGAGTGTTAAAGTCAGGGAAAGTTTGTTTTCCAGAGACTTCCAGGATTCTGTCTACTCGCTTGTATCCTGTGCAAACTCTTCACACAACACTAGTGACAGTTAACACTTCCTACAAAGTGTTGTATATTACAATGATATAATAAACAGAGGCAAATGCCAGGAAGCTGTTATTTTTTTTTCCTTTTTAGATGTTGTGTATGCAAACAGTGGTTAAACAAAATCTTTAAATAGGTAACCATGGGGACTATATTTGAGCTTCCTGTAGACAAAAAGCTAACACCTGCATTTGATGACAGATGTTATATAAAGGAAACTAGAAAATCATTTACATTACTCCCACTCAAATTAGGCGAGAGTTCATTCTTAGAAATTTCTGGCAAAATTTCTCTTGTAAGTTTCTATAAGACGACGCCAACCTTTAACAGACACGATCTGAACATGTGCTAGAAGCTGTTACCTGAATCTGTTGCACCTACGCACACAACTGCATGTCATATATTTAAGCTAATATTCTGTTTTTCAGGAGCTTATGTGAGACCACTTACTGACAGAAAGGCAGCAGCGACAGCAGCGTCTCTTTGGTGGGGCTGGCTGTGAACTCTGGCAGCGTCTGGATCAGCTTGTTCATCACCGTGCGAAGGTAGCCCTGCAGCTGCTTCCTTCTTTCCTCCACAAACTTGGCATCCTGAGACAGATGAAGAAGAGTTAGTCTGAAATAGATACTGAGGTTAAAGCTGCACCTGAATACATACATCATGGATTGTTTGACTGCGTGTGACAGGATAATATTTCCTCATAGCACCGAAACCACACATGACTCTGCCTTAGAATTCATTTTCTTTTGGACTTCTGACCTGCTGATTTGGGTTCACTTTAACTGCTATTATCAGTATAGCACAAGGTGTTTAGGTAGAAAATCCCACTGCAAATACAGCAAATTTTATTGGATGATTTAGCCAAGTGCCAATGAAGGTGGACGTTTTTAATGTTAGGTTTACTGCTATTCAGCTAATAGTTAGCAAGTGCTTGAAGACTAGCTGGCATCTTACATGAAAACTACGGATGACTGTGGAAACCTGCTAACAACCACACAAACTCCTCTTTGTGACCGATTTCATCTAGTGACTCCCAACAATCACTTGCTAACCAGAGGTTGCTCGTGAAAACTGAGGCGTAAAGTAATTTAAAAAATAAATAAAGGAAAAAGCGCATTAGAAGAAATCAACGTCAACATTTGGAAAGGTCAAAGAGGACCTCTTTATAGAAACAATTGCAAATACTGTATACATTTACACATTTACAGTTTTCTTTCTAAACTGTATTGGTGACAGGAAGTATGTACATTTTTGCACATGTGTAAAGTGACACAGATCGTGTTGTGACAAGCTGACTGGGACCGTGGAAAGGTAAGGAGTTGCAAATTGTGACTTAAAGACATGTAACTGAAAAAATATGTCACTGGTGTGCCAGATTCAGATCCTTTACAGGTATCCTCTGTGATGAATGGCTTTCAGTTTTTCTGGCATCCATACAAACCAACAGCACCCTGCTAACTCTCTGTCAGCGGCCAGGCTGTCCAATCCTTTCCAATCTGCTCTGACAAGAGATATTGCATAATCCAAAAAATAAAAAGCATTTTTTTAGGATTACCACATTTATTATTTGTGTTGATTTTGTCGTTTCATTTCTGATGCTGATAAAGCGCAGTGTTCTGAGCATTCAGACCCGCTTCCACTGTGCGACTCTGAAGGCAGAGGCACAGAGCCACATGGCCAATGTGAGCATGGCTAATCGGCATCCAGCAAGGCTCAGAACAAAGCCTGGGCAATGCTCCGTGTTACTCTCTGGTGTTTGGGACTGGAACAAACAGCCATTGAAGGAGGCCAATATTTCCCTTTTTTTTTCAACTACTGCTTCTCTTTTGATCTCAAATCCCAAAACGCATGTGAATTTAATTGTTATGGCTTGAAATGCACATGTGGTTCTTTTGAACAAGAAGAATGAATACCAAGACTGAATATGCAACCATGGGAAAACAATGCTTTATTTTAAGAAGAGACAGCATGTGATAACACATCCAAAGAACAACTCACAATTAAAGTGAGAACACAGGAGTGATACGGTCTTTCTTTTTTAAAAACATCTGGAATCCTTGGTGAGTTTTCTCAAAACTCATTTTCCAAGGAGCAGTCACATTCACACTTCATTCCTATCAATGCTTAAGGAATAAATATGGCAAATGCTTATAAATAAAGACAAAGCAAACACCAGGAGTCTTCCAGGAGTTTTTTTTAAGATAGGAAACTGTCTGTATACCTGCGACATGATGCCTTACAGACAAATTGTGACTCAAGATTTGTTCCTTTCACAGGAACAAATCCACACCTCACTGAGAACTATATCACTTCTAGTTTGTTAAACAGTGGCACTGATGCTGATAGGACAGTGCAGAGCAGACAGAAAAGTGGGAGACGGTGAGAGAAAGACTCGTAGGTCCCCGCAGTAAGTATTCATGGGCTGTTCCCAACTAAAAATGAACCCACCTAAAATCTCACATTTGAGTTGCAAGTCCTACATTTCACAATTGATTAATTTAGATGGATAGTAAAAGGAAAAGAATTCATTTATTTTCCCATCCCCAAAGTCAAATTAAATCAGTTTAACCCACAATACACACTTTCAGCCGGATCTTACACGTGACGCACGGCAGTGCTCCGATTACATCAATTAGCACAGAGGTAAGATAACAGGACGTGGAAGCTAAAACACTGAATCATCACTGGTTTTGCCAAAATGTTATCATACATTAATTTGAATTCTTCCTATTAAATATGAAAATATATTATATGATTTAATACTGAAAAACTGAACAAACTCAGTTTGGATTTTGTGTTTGAACATGAGAGGCACTCTCAAACCTTTAAAATTTACTTTAATTATTTTTAGATTATTCTTTTATTTATCTTCATGTACTTTATTTGAAATTGTTCAATAATGCAATGACTGGATTTTTCAATTATTGCTATTGTGAACTACAGAAAAATGAACTGAGCCCAGTTATCTCTTGTTTGCGTGTGCAACCTTGGAAAAGCTCATTTTATCATTTTAATAATAATGATAATAATAATGGATTGCATTTATATAGCGCTTTTCGGGGCCCTCAAAGCGCTTTACAATTCCACTATTCATTCACTCTCACATTCACACACTGGTGGAGCTACAGTTGTAGACACAGCTGCCCTGGGGCAGACTGACAAAGGCGAGGCTGCCATATTGTGCCATTGGCCCCTCTGGCCATCACCAGTAGGCGGTAGGTGAAGTGTCTTGCCCAAGGACACAACGACCGAGACTGTCCGAGCCGGGGCTCGAACCAGCAACCTTCCGGTTACAAGACAAACTGCCAACTCTTTGAGCCACGATCGCCCTTAAATGGGGACCACTGAAACTACCTTTCTGTCAGCATAAAGAAGTTCACCCCCATATTTAATCCCTCAGATTTTCAAGATTTTTTTACTCACAAAGAAATCTGTAGCACAGAAAGAAATTGATCAGCAAATGAGTAAAATTACAGGAAAAGTTCTGGCAGCGTTTTTGCTATGTCACAGAAAATGTCCTTTTTTTCCTGTAGTCCCATAGAAAAAACAAAAAACAAAAATAGGAACAGAAACTTTCCTGTCATTTGATTGTTTATCTATTTCGTTTTTAGCTTGGTGTTGTATGATTGACCATGAGGGATCAAAAGTTGTAAAAAATGACAATACAATAAAAAAATTTACAATTAAAAAATACAGTAGGAACTATAAAGTCCTTCAAAGCCATGCAGTGGACCAAATTACAGTGTTTGCCAGGATGATTCTGGCCCTTGGGCCTCATGTTTGACACTCCTGTGGTAAAATATGTTTAGAATGAAGATATTAAAGGTCGGATAACAACAACTGACATCGTGTTGTAAATGGTTATTATTATTTCAATCATTAATCGTTACTAAGATCTCTACATTTCAACCAGTAGTCTTCTTAGCCTTGAGTCACAGCAGAATGGCAACAGTAATAATAACCAAGCTAAGCTGAACTTTGAATAGTACACTATTATTGCATATTTCATGCAGGCAGCAAATACTAAAGGACCTCTTTAGGTCTAGCACTGCTCGGCTTAAAACAATTTAAAGAACATCATCAGCACTTTTCTCTATGCTGAGTTAGTAACTGTGTAAATAACTGCAATAAACACTGTAAATGTGGTGACAAGAAACATCCTCCGTGGGAGGATATGAGCTGCGTTCGGTGCAGTATTTTCACATTTTTCCTGTCTGAACCTACAAAAGTTAGGTAGATGATATGCAGGGCAACAGCTAGAGAGAACTTAAAAAAAAGTTCATTGTAGCCCCAAATAGAGGATAAGTACGTAAGTTCAGCAGAGTGGGAGTGGATAACTAAACTCAGCTGCATGCTGGGTAAAGCAGACGGGGGTAAGAGCGGGTAAATCTGATGTGTCAGATTAGGCTGTGCATGCCAGCACGGGTTTCATGCTATGTCGACACAACAAGGGACACCCTGCCTGCTTTCACGGATGTCAGAGCAGTAATAACACTAATGGACATCATGACAGACTCATCCTCTTGTGGAAAAACAGAGGTTTGAAGAGAGGCCAGGTGCTGTGTCTTGTTTGCAGAGAGGAACAAGAGGGCAGAGCAGAAACTACTGTGGCATACTGATGCAGGTACAAGGCGGATACTGTCCTCTTAAATCTGTCCTCTTACCTCCTGCTATCATAACACTGCTCTTTACTTGCTCCCCCACACTACTACACTCGTGTGATATCACAAGGACATATAAACATAAAGGTGGTGTTTTATGAGCATCTCGGTTCTAAGCTTTATACTGTAGGTCACACAGACTGTTCAATCAAGATGGAAAAAAGAAGAAGCAGCAAGACCGACCGCTTTAGTAAAGTCAAAACTACAATTTTGCATTTTTGTATGTTATAGAACATCTGTTCACTAGATATTATGAAGCACGTTGGTTTGGTACATCTAGAATAAAAGACTGATTAGAAGCAAGTCGTGCATCTTGGCATTGCCTTCAAGCCGTCATTTTAAATTCCTTATTTACATAAAAGGGGAGACAGCAACAATTTTCATTTCTATGGTCTCAAGGACTTGCATTCATGAAATCAAAAGACAGATCTGATTTTTAAAAATGATTTTAAATTTTGATGTCGCCCAAAATGAGATTCTTCAAAGCCCACAAGTTATAATACAACTGCTACAACACAAACACTGCAAAACATTACAGCTTCATTAACTGCTCAGTGCAGAGCACCAACACATCGGCATCTGTGGCTCGTTCCTCCACAGCGCTAAACTAATGCCATGCTAATTCACATGAATAAGTTAACCAAGTGAAACAATAACTACACCTTCATATATCATTTCCGTGATAAAGAGCAGAGATGCCTTATAAACCTCAACTGTGTATAAGTCAGTGTGACACTACGGCTGGCCCATATATTTCCAGTTTGGGCTGTTAGCTGGTTCTTTAAAGGCAAAACCAGGACAACCCTCATCAACTCACCATTACAGAACCATCTCCTGTAGTTAGCCACATATTACAAAGCAAACTTTTCCGATCTGACTGCTCCTGCCACTGATGATGTAGCTGATATAAGAACTGACAAAGACTTAGA